CTGCCTACTTGTGATCGCTCTCTCTCTCTCTGTCAAATAAATAAATAAAATCTTTAAAAATAAATAAATAAATAAAACAGGCATATTAATCTACTACAGTGTTTCCTAGAAGAAGTACTGATAAATCTGTTTTGGTGTTTTCAGAGACACCACTATTTAGGAGTGGCCTACTTGGTTCATTCCACCTCTCCTTTGCATGCACACAAAATCCTCAATATCTGATGGGGTCTGAACATTTTACAGAAATCCTGGGTTATAGCTCAGGATGCTCTCCCAATCTTCTGTTCATATTCTCTAATTATTTAGATTGTACCTTCCTTCAAAGAGTGGAAATAATTTACATGGGAAAAGAGAAAAAAAGAAATGGAAGGAGGAATATGTGGGAGAAATCACTATCTCTGATGGGTATGACAAAGGGATTGTGAAGTGAGCCATGGTGGCAAAGTGATGATTCCCAAGTTCATTAGGATTTCAAAAATCCTATTAATGTATTATTTTAGCTATCTAAAAAATTCTATTATGACTGATATATGAGCATCAACTACAACTTTTTCTATACCACACTCTTCAGTTATAAAGGAAAAATTAATTTTCTAAAAAACTTATGTAAGTATCTCCTCTGAATGTGTAAGGATGGTTTTCATTGTTTGTTGCTCTTCTGGACCTAGCTCCTCCTGAGAATTAGATGTTTTAATAAATCATGATGACTGACACATTGCAAAGAAAGAGTAATAAATATATATTTGCTATATATATATAGCATTATAAATATATATACTTGCTATGTTATTATATATACGTACATATATGTTTATGTTTATGGTTAGCCCCACATAACTAATATCTCAGGGTCCACTATTTTGTTCTCATAACAAATTAACAAGAATAACATGTCTGAAGCTTGTAATCAAAACTGTGGAATTGAGGGGAATGGCAGCCAGAATATCAAGCACCTGTTCCAACAGATTTATAGCATGCAACTGTGAAATACGTAATTTACAGGTATTTTTTTTTTACCATAAGCTGAATAAAAAGAGAAATATTTGAAAAAAGGATCCAAAAGAATTACATTTCCATAGGTTCTTGCTTTTAGGGCACTAATGTTGATAAATATGGCTGACATCTTGTTCTGCTGAGGGAGACACAATCAAGCAGTTCTTCCTTGGTTGAATTACAGAGAAAGCAGAGCCACATATCAGTTAATCCAAAATTAACTTTGCAAAACAACTAATGGTGTCTAGACAGATTTCTGAACAGCCTCCCCTGCCACCGCCAAAAAATATGATAAATCTTTACACACAGAGACTCCTGTAACTTTTGCCTTAAAGGGGATGGGAAATTCACACCTAATTAATGGAATTTCATATCTTTCTGATGACTAAAGAAGAGAAGCCTTTTTCAAGGTTAATCTTTAACTATCAGTGATGTCATAGTGATGTGGAATCAAAGGAATGATTAGTTAAATTAAAGATTAAAGTAGAGAGGGAATGTCTGACACATAGCAACATAACAGGCATGGATATTAATAAAGTCTGTCTTAATTTACAAACTTAACTCACTTTGCTGGTATTTTCCTATTAATCTACTTCTGAAGTTTCTAGAGCCACTCATTAACTATAACAAGCCCCCAAAGGGTTTTCAACAAATACCATCACAGAAGGTTGTGTGATCATTTTAATCAATAACATAAAAACTATTTCTTCAGTCTTACAACTGACCTTCTAGTGAAAAGGAGATTTGAATAATACGTCCATTATCATTTTATGTAGTAAGAAAAGAAAACAAGGGTGAATTCTTTTGAAAACCAACTGTGGACCAACCTAAAGGCAGGTGACTGTAGAATATCATTCTAATATATTTACTATCATTCCTCTGTTTTTTTTTTTAAGATTTTATTTATTTATTTGACAGAGAGAGATAGGGAGAGAAGGAACACAAGCAGGGAGAGTGTGAGAGGGAGAAACAGGCTTCCCGCCAAGCAGGGAGCCCGATGTGGGGCTCGATGTGAGGACTCTGGGATCGTGACTTGAGCCGAAGGCAGACGCTTAACCGACTGAGCCACCCAGGTTTCCTACAAGACTCCTTGTTCTTTTCTTTTTTTTTTTTTTTTGATTTATTTTATTTTAGAGAGACACAAAGACAGCTTAAGTTGGGGGAGGAACAGAGGGAGAGGAAGAGGGAGAGAAGCAGATGCCCCACTGAGTGGGGAGACTGAGCGGGGCAGGGGCTCCATCTCACCACCCTGAGATCATGACCTGAGCTGAAATCAGAGTCAGATGTTTTAACTGACTCAGCCACCCAGGCACCCAAGACTCCTTGTTCTTAACCACTGTTCTATAGTGCATTTCTGATGTTTAGGTTTAGTTAAATACCATTCTCTTCTAAATTGGTGATAGTGCCAAGCAGCTTAGGGTAACAAATTCTGAGTAACACTAATTTTTACTGGCATGTAGTTTAAGGAGACAACATAATCATTGTCTTTTAGTTCCATAGATATTCTTTCACACTTTCTCAGAATGTTTTTTTCTTCTTTCTATCTTAACTAAAACATAATCTGAAAACCTTCATTATCTGTAGCAGATTGGGCTTTAACTGCTTTTTAATAAAGCAATAGCTACTTTGTCCTAAAACGTATTTGATACACAACTGACTATATTCAAGTACAATTGGTCATAATTTGCCTCTTTATTTTGAGGACACAGAAAGAACTATAGACCTAAAAAGTACTTTATCACTAAACATAAGATATTAAAGTGTTTCTCAGTAGCTGAGCATTAGATTGAGCTGAATAACATTAATTATAATCATGTAAATTCTCATAGGACTTTAAAAGAATGGGGAAAACAAAACAGTGCAAACTTCACGAAACTGGCAAAGTTGGAAGAAGAACGCTCCGATTTCTTCTGTCCTGACTCAACCCATCTAATAATCATTCTGCCTCTCTTTAGAGGAAAGGAATCTCTCTAGTTTAATAAAAGCTCCTTTCTTTCTAAAATCTTAGAAAAAAAGTTCTGGAGATTTTTTTTTTTTAAGTTGCCAGAATCATTTATAGATTGAAGAACTACCTATAATAGAAGTTTAGCATATTATTAGGAAGGTGACTAGCGAAGAACTGAAGAAGCACATCCTTCTAGAATAAACGCATATCTTCTAAGATATATTTTCATGATTATATATTCAGAACCTCATTTTCTGTTGTCCAGAACAGTCTCCCAAACATCTCCAAGCCCAAATCCTGTCCCTTTCTTGACATGAATACCCGGAGCTCTGTGCTCCCTACATCGTCTGGGATCTTTGAAGCAGCCTTGCTCATAAAAAGAGCAGATGCTGTAGCATCACCAAATACCGAGTCACATTTTTGAGCTCAGTGAAATGATACTTTAATGTGAGAGCAATAATAAAATTAAACAGCACTCAAGTTTTGCTCGCAGTCAGGAGCTTGCCTCCAAGAGAATCAGTGTAGAATTCGTTGGCCGTGTACATCACATGGCACTGTTTTGGAAATCAGATGGAAGAGTGCCTCAGAAAGAACTTTGCCAGTTGTGAAACTGTGCAAGTATATTTATAATTATTTTTGACATTTTCTGGGTAGTTCTGTAAGGAAAATCTAAGTATAGTTACACTTCACACATTTGGAAGTGAGATAAACGATAGCAAAATTTTTCAAGTTGCTGTTCACCTGCTGGAGTAGCATTTTAAATACCCAAAGCCTTGCTCTCAATTCAAGTTCTTCCTGAATTACACCTGGGTGAATGTATTTCTCATATATCTGCTAAGTGACAGCTTTCTAACAATTTTTTTTTACTAGTTCATTTTAAATTAATTGGGATAAAGGTATGTAAATATTAGGCATGCCCTTAAGTTGTGTTGAAAAGTCAATGCAAAGGAAAACACTTCTACCTGTCAGAGAGGGGATGGTCTGAAGGAGGCAAGGAATTAGATGCTTGTGTGCTTGTGGGAGGGAGACGCTATCCTCTCTTAACATGTAAGTTTATGAAATGATCTCTTTCAACTGATTTGTATGGAGGTACCAAATATATTTCAGCAGAACATTTTGCAAATGAGAAGTAATGATAAGATGGCGGGATTCTAAAAGTTGTTCCAAATAGAAGTGATTTCCAGGAACTTACCAGTCATGCAGTTTTTAAATTCAATGTCATCAATCGCAGGTCCTCCTCCTAGATCCCTTGTTCTGATCCCTTGGAATAGGACTTCAAAATTCCTTAGCTTTCCTAGCAGGATGACAGCCCTTTGCCAGTGATTACCAGAGTTCTGCTCACTTTCTTGCCATACTTTTGACAGTCCTTTCTCTGTCTGCATTAGAGAAATAAACACAAACGAAGAAAAAAAGCCAATCATTTAGAACAGAAGCATCTGATTAATGAAAACTGATTAAAAAACAAACACTGGAACTCTGATAACATCCATAATATACTTGAACTCATTAAAACAGAGGCATATTAGGGGCGCCTGGGTGGCTCAGTCAGTTGAGCGTCTGCCTTCGGCTCGGGTCATGATCCCGGTGTCCTGGGATGAGCCCCACAATGGGCTCTGTGCTCAGCGGGGAGCCTGCTTCTGATTCTCCCTCTGCCTGCCTGCCTGTCTGTCTGCCTACTTGTGATCGCTCTCTCTCTCTCTGTCAAATAAATAAATAAAATCTTTAAAAATAAATAAATAAATAAAACAGGCATATTAATCTACTACAGTGTTTCCTAGAAGAAGTACTGATAAATCTGTTTTGGTGTTTTCAGAGACACCACTATTTAGGAGTGGCCTACTTGGTTCATTCCACCTCTCCTTTGCATGCACACAAAATCCTCAATATCTGATGGGGTCTGAACATTTTACAGAAATCCTGGGTTATAGCTCAGGATGCTCTCCCAATCTTCTGTTCATATTCTCTAATTATTTAGATTGTACCTTCCTTCAAAGAGTGGAAATAATTTACATGGGAAAAGAGAAAAAAAGAAATGGAAGGAGGAATATGTGGGAGAAATCACTATCTCTGATGGGTATGACAAAGGGATTGTGAAGTGAGCCATGGTGGCAAAGTGATGATTCCCAAGTTCATTAGGATTTCAAAAATCCTATTAATGTATTATTTTAGCTATCTAAAAAATTCTATTATGACTGATATATGAGCATCAACTACAACTTTTTCTATACCACACTCTTCAGTTATAAAGGAAAAATTAATTTTCTAAAAAACTTATGTAAGTATCTCCTCTGAATGTGTAAGGATGGTTTTCATTGTTTGTTGCTCTTCTGGACCTAGCTCCTCCTGAGAATTAGATGTTTTAATAAATCATGATGACTGACACATTGCAAAGAAAGAGTAATAAATATATATTTGCTATATATATATAGCATTATAAATATATATACTTGCTATGTTATTATATATACGTACATATATGTTTATGTTTATGGTTAGCCCCACATAACTAATATCTCAGGGTCCACTATTTTGTTCTCATAACAAATTAACAAGAATAACATGTCTGAAGCTTGTAATCAAAACTGTGGAATTGAGGGGAATGGCAGCCAGAATATCAAGCACCTGTTCCAACAGATTTATAGCATGCAACTGTGAAATACGTAATTTACAGGTATTTTTTTTTTACCATAAGCTGAATAAAAAGAGAAATATTTGAAAAAAGGATCCAAAAGAATTACATTTCCATAGGTTCTTGCTTTTAGGGCACTAATGTTGATAAATATGGCTGACATCTTGTTCTGCTGAGGGAGACACAATCAAGCAGTTCTTCCTTGGTTGAATTACAGAGAAAGCAGAGCCACATATCAGTTAATCCAAAATTAACTTTGCAAAACAACTAATGGTGTCTAGACAGATTTCTGAACAGCCTCCCCTGCCACCGCCAAAAAATATGATAAATCTTTACACACAGAGACTCCTGTAACTTTTGCCTTAAAGGGGATGGGAAATTCACACCTAATTAATGGAATTTCATATCTTTCTGATGACTAAAGAAGAGAAGCCTTTTTCAAGGTTAATCTTTAACTATCAGTGATGTCATAGTGATGTGGAATCAAAGGAATGATTAGTTAAATTAAAGATTAAAGTAGAGAGGGAATGTCTGACACATAGCAACATAACAGGCATGGATATTAATAAAGTCTGTCTTAATTTACAAACTTAACTCACTTTGCTGGTATTTTCCTATTAATCTACTTCTGAAGTTTCTAGAGCCACTCATTAACTATAACAAGCCCCCAAAGGGTTTTCAACAAATACCATCACAGAAGGTTGTGTGATCATTTTAATCAATAACATAAAAACTATTTCTTCAGTCTTACAACTGACCTTCTAGTGAAAAGGAGATTTGAATAATACGTCCATTATCATTTTATGTAGTAAGAAAAGAAAACAAGGGTGAATTCTTTTGAAAACCAACTGTGGACCAACCTAAAGGCAGGTGACTGTAGAATATCATTCTAATATATTTACTATCATTCCTCTGTTTTTTTTTTTAAGATTTTATTTATTTATTTGACAGAGAGAGATAGGGAGAGAAGGAACACAAGCAGGGAGAGTGTGAGAGGGAGAAACAGGCTTCCCGCCAAGCAGGGAGCCCGATGTGGGGCTCGATGTGGGGCTCAGTCCCAGGATCCTGGGATCATGACCCAAGCCGAAGGCAGACGCTTAACAGCTGAGCCACCCAGGTGCCCCATATCATTCCTCTTTCAATATAACATATGAAATCTTACCCCCACAATTATCAAAATTATGCATCCAAATGTAAAATGGAGACTTATTTACCTATTAGCTTATCTGTCCATTCATTCATTTATTCCACAAACATTCGATGTTCACATGTACTATGTTAGATACCAGGAATAAAAAGGTGAAAAAAAAAGAGAGTCTCACCTGTGGAGGTAATAATCGAATATGCGAAAGTCAGAAAAATAAATTACTAGAAAAGTTACATAAATACAGATTTTATTTATTTTTCTGACATATATCAATATACATCAGAACAATTTTTAAAAAAAATAGTTATATGTCAATCTCATTTTTGTTCCACATACACTGTTGCTTTATTTACTTAATATTCTGATTTTCAGTTCATTCTAAATTGAAAAAAATGAGAAACCTCTTAATATCAACTCATGACACTGCTACTGGCCAAGGACATATCTCTCGGATTCGTTCATATGGATGTTAAACCATCAACAACCCAAGGCAATAAACATATGAAAAGTGATTGGCCACACTAATAATAGTAAAAACAGACATTAGTACAATGATAATTAATTTATAGAAATTGAAGGAATACTCTCTTCTTGTAATGTAACCATTTACCCAACTTTGAACTGATTTGCCATGTATTATGCATATTGATCCTTTATCTTATATACTGCATATTTGTTTTGGCAATGTATCTGCCCTCATAATTTACGTCAGTGTTTCCCTTTTGTGTCATGAAAAGAAAAGCAGTAAGAAATACTAAAACTCTGCCCCCATCCCCAAAAGCAAAGGCCGAGCAGAGCCTAGACTTCAACCCAAATCCAGTACTCAGGGGCCCCAAGACCTCTCCTTCCAAGATTTTTTCAAAAGAAGGAAAATTAAGCGAATTTGTTACCAGTAGACATACCTTAAATAAATGGCTAATGGAGCTTCTTTAAGCATAAAGGAGATGATAAAAGAATGAATCTTAGAATATCAAGAAGGGATAAAAAAAACAGCTAAAATATGAGTAAATACAATAAACTTTTCTGATGCTCTTGAATTTATTTTTGATGGCTGAAGGAAAAATACCATGTAATATGGTTCTCAATGTATGTAAAGCAAATAATTAAGGCATAAATATTATAAGTGTAAGAGAGTAAAGACATAAAGGAACGTAAAGTTGCCACACTGGAGTTAAGTCTTAATGTTGCATTTTAATAGGTCACATTTTCATCCTCAATTTTTTTTGTTGTTGTTGTTCTTTTGGTCTTCTCATACATTCAGTCTCCCAAATGAAACTTAGAATAATTTAATAAATAGGTGAAATTTTAAATATTGAATTATTTTACCCTGAGATATCACTTATTTTCTGACTTGTTCAGGACTCTTCATGCCACTCACTAAAATTTTAGTCTTTTTTACCACCATGTGAAAAACTCAGACGGAGAAGGTCACAGATATGGCGGCTGTTAGGATGGGAAAGCTGACAACCATACCCGGAGGTCTGACATGTGCATCTATAACTGTGCATGCAGCTAAAGAAGAATACAAAAAGCAGCTAGGAAAGCCAGAGCTGCTCCCCATACATACTGCACCACCTCCGCAGTCTAAATAGGTTGAGGAACAGCCTGGTCGTTTACAAATGGGCTTTGCACCCATCTGCACCACAACTGGTCATTATATTGGCTGGTGCAAGAGCGTTTATGTGTTTGTGAAAAATGGAATAACGGATATGGTACAATTTGGAAAAGATGCGTATATCTATCTGAAGAATCCACCTCGAGATTTTCTCCCAAAACTTGGAGTGATTACAGTTTCAGGATTGGCAGGCTTGGTTTCAGCAAGAAAAGGTTCCAGGTTTAAGAAAATTGCTTATCCACTGGGACTGGCCACTTTAGGAGCAACTGTTTGCTACCCAGTTCAGCCATAATTGCAAAGGTAACTGGGAAAAAGGCATATACTACAAGCCAGCAAATTTATGAAGCAGTTAAATCACTGTGGACAAAAATCAACAAAAAAGAGTCATTTCCTAAACCTAAAGAAAAATCTAAGCTAGGAAATTCTGCTGAAATAGAAATATCTGCAAAAACAACTGACAGCCTGAAATACTCAGTGCCCTTGACAGAACTCAGCTCTGAAACAAAGACAAAAATCAGAATCCACCTCAGGTGCTACACCACCTGATATATATATAATATATAATATGTCCATGAAGAACAAAGTTTATGCTTGACCCCAAGCTCATGGATCACGGGCAGTCCCATCCAGAAGATGTGGATATGTACAGCACTGGAAGCTGAAATAGTCTGCGTAGAGAACTACGAGATGTGTGAAGTTGAAAACAATGATGAAAAAATCATGTAAAGGGTAACTGTGACACAGAGAGTATAACTTTTTTTTTTTTTAGGGTATAACTTTTAAACGACGTTTTTCCCTCACATCTTCTAATGTAATGTACAGTTTGACCAATCACATAAGGGATTAAAACCCAAACTGTGAATTTAATCCAAACGGTATTAAATGATTGATGAAGAGGCAGAAGTATTGGGATGCATTTAATGATTTTTAAGGGTGTTTATTAAAAAACAAAAATAGAGTAAATATATAAACACTGATGAAATAT